CTTTGCTGCCCAGGCTGGCTTTGAGCCACGATTCTCAGATCTCCATTTCCTAAGTAGCAAGGATTACAGCCTGAGCCACCAGCACCTGACATCTTAAGAGCGAAGTATTTCATGAGAGGTACATATGGTAGCCATATTTGAAAATACCTAGTCAACTCACCTGTCCTATTTAGACATTTGTGGATTTATAATTGTATTTGTTTCATAAGTTTTTAATAAAGTAACAAGCCCCATTTTTGTTATGGATTTGACAAATCAAAAGGAATAAAATGCTACAACACTAAGTCTTCTTAATGGTCCACAGCATGAATTGTGAACACAGAATTCTTTGGGTGCTCTTTTGTTCTTTCAGATAAAAAACTAAGGAAGTATTAGGTAGTAGCAGCAGCTGTTATGTTTGAAATTTTCTGAAACTCTGGTTTTAGTTCATCCAATTTTTCTTTCTCAGTCTCAAGTTAGGAGCCAAGATGCACATAGGCCAAAGGAAGACATGTCACTTGTATTTTTTTCCAACCAAAAGAAAGCAATGGCAGGATATGATGCTCTCAAACTATGGAAAGAGGACAAAACAATTAAACAATTATACAGTGGTTCTGTACATATTAAAAAGACCAAAGCCTTCTGCCTGTTGCGTGTGTTTTGAGAATTTAAAACCTCCTGCGTATAACATTGTATGGGGAAATTCAACCAACTTGTCACATGCTGGTTTGCGTTTAACTCATTACAATGTTGATTGCTAAGAACACTTGCACAACCAAGAAGATATCTGAACTTTTTCACTAGTCATATGAAATCTAAACCAAGGGCTTGAGTTGGGGCAATATCAAACAGATGTTAAATCCCAGATAGTTTTTGCAATTTAGAAGATAAAATTACCACTCAGCCTTCAGCAGGAGTTTTGATTTTCAGAACAGTCACCAGGATCCACAAAACAATAAGGACAATAGTGAGGTTTAGAGTTTGGAGACATTTCCCATTACACTTGAAATGCCAACTGAGTTCACCCTCTGTTTCTCCTTTGTGTCAAGGGGAAAATCACCCTGTGACCTTATGATGCTTATTTCATGGGCATAAAATTACTTGAAGATCAGTGATAAATATAATTGCCACAAGCCTTGTGAACTATGTGTAAAAAAATAAAAATAGCTTTGGAGAACTATGATTTCTGAGGTGGATACATTATCAATTTGGAAGAAAAGTTTGGCTCTTGTCTTTGTGATTCATTTATTTAGAAACAAAATCTGACAAATGATAAAAAACAAGGTTGGCCATGTGCCTGCTTTTTTTCCTTAATTTTTTCTTCATTTTCTTTGAAGGCTTCTGATTTCTTTTTTTTAAAAAAAAAAAAGAAAGAAAAAAAAGCGAAGAAAGGAAAGAAAGGCAGGAAGCCAGGAAGGAGGGGAAAAGAAATGAAAGAAAAATGTACAAATAAGACCCCACAGAGTTGTAAATTTGACTTATAACCACTTGTAATCTAAATGTACTTTGAACTCTGAATTAATAAGGCTTTTTTTCCCCTGATTTTCCACTAATCCCTCTCCTTGGCTGGGTATTTCTAAATAGACTTCCATCCTTGAGAGCCAATGACAAGCGAGAGAGAAACTGGTTTATAGCAGGAGAAGTCTCTGCCTCACAGGAGCCCGGGTGTCATTCAAACAAAGTGAAATGAATGTCTAAGGAAGGAGGAAATGCCAAGACTGGCTTGAGCAGTAAGGGGAAGCATCATTTCCTGTGTCATTGTTGGCTGACACTGCCTGGCATGAAGGCTTTGCCTCCCCATGTCCACCAGTTGAGACCTATGTTCCTACCTCCTTCTCCTTCTCTTTGGCTTTTCTCCCTCCCCATCCCTCTCCCCCCCAAGGACATGGAGACGCTTGAACGGAAAACTGGAAGATATGTCTATGTCTATAGATAGGCAGATAATTCATTCTCTTTTCCTAACAATGGCATGCTAGTTCTTGGGCAAAATTTGGACAATATACATGTTAATTTTTCTAGCCTCTTCTTTCAACATTTAGTCCATAGGATACAAATCCAAACTCACAATGGGGCTAAACTGATGGTCACCATGAAGGAACCAGATGGTAGGGAGCGATGAGGGTTGGATGTGTGGGGAAGGCCAGGCACATGGCACTGTGGTTTACAATTCCTGAGCATCTCTCCCCCGCCCTGCAACATGTCATATGTGAAGGGTGCCCCCTAGTGTGGAGGCCCTCTACGTACCCCATGTACTCATCATTCATTCACAACACACATCCTCAAGGAGCTTCGCTTCGCAGAGGCCAATAGAGACCACAAGGACAAATTGGACAAATATCATTGGTCACACAAAGCCTAAAGTCCTCTTCCGTCATCACTTTAAAAAAACAAAAAGTAGAAAGCACACTGCCAACCAAACAACACATCCATAAGCAGAATGGATCCCACGTGGGCCCAGCAATGAATAACTTCTGCTCTAATCTTTTAAATTATGTCTGGACAAATATCATTGGTCACACAAAGCCTAAAGTCCTCTTCCGTCATCACTTTAAAAAAACAAAAAGTAGAAAGCACACTGCCAACCAAACAACACATCCATAAGCAGAATGGATCCCACGTGGGCCCAGCAATGAATAACTTCTGCTCTAATCTTTTAAATTATGTCTGGAGCATTTAGCCCCAGGACCAAAATACCACAATGGACAGACCACAGTTTGCATCCATTGCTTGGGTGGTGCTTAATCTGAGCAATACACACAGGGAAAACACAGCCAATATACATACATACATATATGTGTGCATGTATGTATATATATGCATATATGTATATATATGTGTGTATATATTACACACACAGCATATATACACACACATGTATACATATATATGCATATGTATATTATGTATATACATATGCATATATATATACATATGTATGTATGTACATATATATGTCTATATACATATTTATGTGTGTATATATATATGGTGTGTATGTATATATATATATATATATATACAGTGTGTGTGTGTGTGTGTGTGAGTGTGTGTGAATTGTGGTGCCTGAACTCTGGGCCTGGGCACTGTCCCTCAGCTGTTCAGCTCAAGGCTAGTGCTCTATCACTTGAGCCACAGCACCACTGTGGCCTTTTCTGTTTATGTGGTGCTGAGGAATCAAACCCAGGGCCTCATGCATGCAATGCCAAGCACTCTACCACTGAGCCTCCTTCCCAGCTCCCAGCCAATACATTTCTGACAGCAATTTTATTCCTCGCTTCCTGTGTCTGGACTTGCCACTCCTTTCAAGAAATCATAATTCTTAGGGGCAAACTGTTAGACAAGAGAGGAAGGAAAACTAGGGTGAGGTGAATGGAACATAGTATTATCTATCTAAATAACTGTCTTAACAGCCTAAGCTCTGAGAGAGGTAAGTCATTGAGATCAAAGTAGCATTTAATCCAATACAGAGTTTGTGTCTAACCAGTTAAGACATTTTGGGGGGTTTGCTCTTAGAGGTTATGCTAACAGAAGAAGAGCAAGTGCTGAACATACAGCCTGTCCTACTAATAATGTATTTCTTAGATCTAATGCCACATAAAATTCCAGTGACTAAGCTCTGTCTGTGTCTTGAGGATTTTTTTTTTAAATATTGGAAGCTTCAATAAGACTGAAAACTTATATTAAGTTTCTGCATGAAGCTGTCAAGAAATGTTGTGTTGATACTCAAGAGAGTTAACAAAAAGTTTTCCACCACACATTGGATTTTCTTAAAAAGATTATAGCTTAAAAGTATTTCTAGGTCACAGACCTGATAAGGAGATATATAGATAGGTACAAAGGCCACATGTAAACATTTCTATCTTCTTAAAAATGGAGCAAAGACCATCTGTGATTATTCACTCTTCCTCTTTTCTACCTGCCTGCCTAGAGCCCTTTTCTCGGAAACTCCTGATTAAGTTAATAAAAATGATAATCAGAGGAGAGAGTATTATCATATTAATCAACACATTATATTAAATTACTTTCTCCAAAGTTTGGAAGCAGTTCCTGAAAGCTGTCAAAGGTATTAATTTTTTCCCTCCCTCCCTCTTTCCCTCCCTTCATCCCTCCCTCCCTCTCTCTCTTTAAATCACAAAACAAAATTCCACTGTCTCTCCCCAACCCCTTCTGAAAAAAAAAAAAAGTTGTTGAGTTTTGCTTTTCTATTCACTGCAGTCCTGGCCAAAGTAAAGCCCTCTTTCTCAATGACGTCAAGATCTTTAGCAAGATTAGGCTTTCATTTCTCTATTGCAGCAATTAGCCAGGGAATGTATAAAAGACTTCGGGGAGACTCACTGGGCTGCAGAGAGAGGCACTTTGTACCACAGACAGATAGCAGGAAGGAAAAGCTGAGGGAGGGAGAAAAAGGAGTCAGTCGCTCCTGGAGAAGGGAGACGGGAGCCCGTCTGGTCTGGGAGAGCTGAAAGTGTGTTTCAAACGGAGTACAGAAAGAGAGGGAGAGAGCTACCCTTAAAGCACATTTAAAAAAAAAAAGAAAGGAAAAAAAAAAACAAAAAGCAACAACAAAACTCTGGCAATTCAAGGAAGAAACAGGGCTGCATTTAAAGAGAGACAATGAAGAGCTAAAGAAAAAACAAATTTGCCATCTGCGCCTGAGTCTCATAGGTGTTTGGAAATGAAAGTCTCTAACGGACTCTGACAGGGGTAACTGGATTAGGGACTGGCTCGCCAGTTTTTTTTTTTTTTTTTTAACATCTTAAATCCTGAAAAAAAAAAAAAAAGCAGCAGCTCCGAATTGAATGAATTGATGGGCACACTCCAACTGCTGGGCTGCAGAGACTGAACTTGGTCTTGCCATTTCTACTTCTTTGAAAGAGGAGACAACTTGGGCTTCCTTTTAATTTAGTTTTTTTTTCCTTCTTCTTCTCCTCTCCCCCACCCCTCCCCCTCCCCCTCCCCTTCCTCCTCCTCCCCCCCACCCCCCTCTCCCACCATACTCCTTTTAAATAAGAGGGCGAAGGGGAAACCGAGCACACAAGGGGACTGACTCAGGAGGCAAGAAGATGGGTATCCTCAGCGTAGACCTGCTGATCACACTCCAAATTCTGCCAGTCTTTTTCTCCAACTGCCTCTTCCTGGCGCTCTATGACTCGGTCATTCTGCTCAAGCACGTGGTGCTGCTCTTGAGCTGCTCCAAGGCCGCTCGCAGGGAGTCGCGTCGCATGCTGACCTCAGAGGGACTGCGGTGCGTCTGGAAGAGCTTCCTTCTGGATGCCTACAAACAGGTGAGCTACGCCCCCTGTCTGGGTCCAGGGGCCAGGGATTCCAAGATTGGGGATTAGAGGGCGTGGCGTGGGGGGGAGGGGGAACATTGAGATCAGAGCTGGGGGCATGCCTAGTGGTTGTGTCTGTGCATTTACACCTGTCACGTAAGTTAGACGTGGAGGGAGAGATAGGAATGAATCTGTAACCAAGAGTCTTTTGACTAAGGATTGCTATTGACCTTGTGATTATGTATTTATTCCAGTAGAGGGTATGATGCCTAGAAAATAATTTGGGGCAAAATCAGAAAAAAAAATGTTGGAGATGAGAGGAGGGGAATGGTGGGTTTGTTCTACTCTTGGCATCAGCTGAAATTATGCTTTTCTGGATGGGAGGTTAGTGAGGTGTCCTAGGAAAGATAAGTCTAGCACTTTCTCTTTTCTTCTTTGAAAATGTCAGCATCACCAACAAAATGGTAATGACACCATAGCCACTGTGTTTCTGGAGGTGAAGGGTTCAAGGAAAGAAGCAAACCTTGTGAGCCCTTGTAGGGGGCTGGGGGAGGGTTCCTCATGACTACTTATCCATTTGCAAAAGGAAGCTGTGAGTCCTGGCTGTCAGAGATGCAACTGTGTAAGGGAAACCAGATCTACACACCTACTTTCTCAAAAGTGAAAACAAGTTGTCTTAGAAAAAAGCAGATGGGTTTTGTGGGTTCAGTTCAGTCTCATGCTTTGAAAGCATAGAAGCAGTGGTCTCCATTCCCCGTGGAGACCTGCACCCCATACTGTTGGAAAGCCTCATTGAGTGATCTTTGCTTCTGAGAGAAAAAAATTCTGGTGTTTCCAACTTTTATGCTCCCGAGAGACTGGTGGAGCATTTTCAAGCGAGATCTTAAGGGGAAAGGGGGAACATTTTGGCCCTGTCCTGTGTCAATTTGTTCCTTACTCTTTACTCCCTGTGTGACTCCTGAAGACTCCCTGGGGTTAGAAAGAATGAACTCATGTGGCAGAAGTTGGTAGTGAAGGAAGTAGCATTAGTTCTCCTGGCAGTGTTTGGGAGCCCTTGCTCAGGATGTCAGGGAAGGAGGTTTGAGAGGAATATTGAAGCCAGGTGTTCAATGAAGTAGTACAATTTAGGCAGGCAGAACTTCAGAAATACTGATGGAAACTCAGAATACTACAAGGGGAAGGAAATGAGTCCTCCATAAATAAAGACTAGAAAAATAAAACTTGGTACCAGTTAAAGTGAAAGAATGAAAGAATCCAAGGCAGAATTGTTCCACTGAAATCCAGTGTCCAGAAAGTGAATGTCTATGATGCACTGGAGCCATTTTTACTATAATACATGCTGTGATTATCGAGAGGAACCTGAAAAAGAGCTGTTTTTATTCATCTAAAGGCATGTGAATAGTCAGACCTCTTATTAGGGAGTGGGAATCTCTTCATGAGAGTATGAATGAAAGCTTGGAATCTAAATATGCAAATTTACACTTACCAGGTATGTAGAGGCAAGTGGAAGAATGAGCAAGGAGATACTAAAATATTCATTCTCTCATTCCATTCTCGCAAAACTGTAAATGAATGTGAAATTTTTAGGTTTCCTGTAGGGGTTGGAAATTTGAAGGGGAACAGCACATATATAAAAGTATTATTCATCAGTACTTTTTTCACCATATCTCTATTTCATGTCTTAGGTAAATAGAAATATCAGTGCTTTGATCTCAATATAGCAAACTCTTAGTTTTTGTGAAAGATAACTGACTTCTGCTTTTGAAATGTTTTTGATCTTTTTTTCTTTTTGTTTTTGCCAGTCCTGGGGCTTGAACTCAATGCCTGGGTTCTGTCCCAAGTTTCTTTAGCTCAAGGCTAGCACTCAATCACGAGAGCCACAGCACCACTTCTGGCTTTCTCTGTTTGGTTTATTGGAGATAAAAGTCTCATAGCTAGGCTGGCTTCGAATCACAAATCACGATCCTCAAATCTCAGCCTCCTGAGTAGCTAGGATTACAGGAGTGAACCACCAGCTCCCAGCTAATTAAAACTTTTTTAAAAAATCGCATTTGTAGAAAATCGTATATGCATCTATATCTAATACAAGTATCATCTTTCACATTGACTCTGATGACTGAAATGTTATCCACAAATATTACATGAGATGTCTTTCCCATTAAGCAGCCTATTGAGACTGAGATGGAAAAACAAACAAATGGCTCGATAATAAACTTTTTCTTTAATATATACTGCCCCATTGTGTTGTAATAGGTTGTTACTCATAATCCAGGAATTTGAGGAGGATGAGTGGTTTGTTTTTTCTTTTGGTATATTGTCTGTATATTCTTTGTCTCTGAACATTGATCTGATTAGTGACCAAGTTCATGATGGATGTTATTATAATGATTTATTCAATACCTGTCATGTGCGGGAGCAACCCCAGGAACTTTATATTCAGAGACAAGACTGAACTGGGCGTGTAATGAATGGAAACCTTGTGAATACAGCTTGGTCTAAATGTTGGTACCTTTTTTTTTTTTGTCCTCAAGTATGGCTAGGGTAATGGTTGGTGTGGTGGCATTTGCCAGTGACTTCAAACCTCTTCAACAGGTTGAATCATGTCACCAAATGCTGGTGTCATCTGTGCCACTGTCTTTGGGTGTGGCCATTTCGAGAGACACTGAAGGAGTCTCTGTCTGAGATGGCATCACAGGATTTCATAATCTTGACTACATTATGTAGAAGCAGAGTTTTCCAAGATGCGATTTCCACACGTGATACAATTAGACATGTCATTTCTTCTTCTTTATCCTGCTGATCGTTGACTGTCAGTGACTGGAAGGATATTGGAAGACAGTAGGATAAATGTGTGTATCCTATACTGATAACAAAGGCGAGATCACACACACACACACACACACACACACACACACACACAAATAAGAAAGAAAATGCTCTTTTCATTAAAATGGTGTGAGGGATTCAAAATGAACTTTATGGAGAAGCTTTCCAAGATCACGGGTGTTTGGTAAGTGGTTGGGGTTCTCTGTACACTATTGATTGAAAAGAGCCTATAGAAACTCATGAGAGAGCTGAGGTAAATAACAGAGGTGAGTTATTCAAGTTTCTAAAGTCACTGTCACTTCTGAACACTGTATCCTTGTGCTGGTGCTTGAAGACTCAAAATGCACCCAATAAGCAAACTGTCCTGTCTGGCTCTTACCTAAATGAAGTGTAAAAGTAAATACACCATATAGAAGCTGACAAGCAGTTTAGTTTCTGCACGGTTAATATTGCAGTGGCACAGAAAACATATTCATTTGAACATATAATTTGGGTTTTGAAAGGGTCTCTTTAACCTTCTCCTCCCCCTCTTCATTCACCTCCAGCCTTTTGACACGAGATTGTACGATGGAAAATGGCTCTTTTAAGAAAGAAACGGTCCCCAGATTATGCAAAGAAGGCCACAGCCAAGGCTTGTCCATGACTTGGGAAAAGCATTGAGAATGATAGGTCTTGGGGTTGTATTTTCCAGGGTATTGCAAATAGGGAACTGAATCTGCTTAATGCTTGTTTGTCTAAGGACATTGATGTATCCTGGTCATTATGTCAAGAAAATAGACACTTTCTGAGAGTTAATAAAGCCATTTCACTGGCTTAGGGTAGCAAGAACTGTATGTAAATACTCTGCTAAACAGCCTCACCCACATTTTTTTTTATCATTTGCTTTACCATTTATCATGAGATTATATGATTTTTTAAAAAAAAATCAGAGTCCCTTTTCATGCTATGAAAAAGAAAAGGTTAGTAGCATATGCTCTATTTCCATATTTCTATATTTGATGAATGGCTCTTTTATTTCCTGGCCTCAAACAATCCACATGCTATAAAATAGCATTATCGCTTATCCCTATGCATTAAACGTGGCTAGGGAAAGATATCATCAAGGAGATGCTATGTATTGCAAACACGTCCATTGCAACCTTTAAACTTGGCTCAGAGATGTCGTGTTGTAAACATGCAAATGGTTCATTCACTTCCATTGTTGGTGTTGTGTCCATGTTGATTACAAAAGCACCAGAGAAGATTACGGTAATAGCGCAGATGAGGGAGAGAAAAGTCAGTGATGACGTTATCACGTCTTACGTATGTCCTTTCTGATCCTTGCAAAAATAAAGAGACCCTTTGGGAACATCGGAACTTCAAGACCAATTAGTGGAAACGATGCTCCTTGTGTTTGGGCATTAAATACCGGGCAGGGTTCTCTTTAGAGCGGCTAATGCTGGCAAAGAAAGAGGTACCGACCTAATTACTCTTCCGCAAGAGTAAAAAAAAAAATGCCTTTTGAATGCCTCTTTGGCAAATATGTCTCATTAAGGACAAAAACCAAACACAAACCCTCTAAGAAGGAGAAATTAAGATGATAGGTAACTTGTGGTTCTGTGCCACTGTGGGAAATTAAAACAAAGTTTGGGAGTACCAGGGGATAACTTGTTTTTGTTGAGCTTCTTTTCCTGCCGACAAAATGTTATTATGGGACCAACTTTATTTTCTTCATCACTTTGGCTCTGTGTCAAGGAATGCTTTGCTACTGGGAGAGCAAAGAATCTTCTATGGTGATTCTCCCATTCCATCGTAGCAAGGCTGCTAACCAAGCAAAACCAGGAAATTCCATTTGAAATTCTGATAGAGCTCCACACTGGTGGCTCACGCCTATAATCCTAGCGACTCTGGGGGCAGGGATGGGAGGATCACAGTTTGAAGCCAGTCTTATGTCCAAACTCCTATGTCCAATTAATCAGCAGAAAGCCTGTAGAGGAGGTCTGGCTCAAGTGGTAGAGTGTCAGACTTGAAGGAAAGAGCTAAAGGGTAGGGCTCTGGTTCTCAGTTGAAACCTGAGTACCTGCACCAAGAAAAAAGCTATCTGATCTAATAGAGATTGGTGATCAAACAAATGAGAAGGAACAGTAATGTCGTTAAAAGATGCATCCCAAGTGTCTTTTTCTTTATTTTAGCTAACGTATCCTCCACTAGGTTTTAGTAAAGATGGACAAACTCATGATTATTATAGGATAGTTATAAAAGTAAGACTACTGGCCTGCTCATTGGAATTTATAGATCAAAGATATATGTTTTTCTTTCATTTTATTAATAGAATTTACTATTCATTTTATTTTATCTTGTTCCCTTTATTCATAAAGGTATCTGTTAGTGACCTTCTAGTGTACACGAGGGTCCTAGAGTGTCTCAACAAAGAGGATTGACATATCTGTTTGCTGATCAAGTTACATACCCAAAAAGAGATGATTGGTCAAATGCCTGTAGTTCCTGTCTGTAATCCTAGGTAATTGGGAGCCTGAGATCCAGAGGATTGCAGTTCAAAGCTAGTTTGGGATAGAAAGGTCTTCAAGACTCCATTTCCAAAATAACCAGCAAAAAGCTAGGCTGGAGATTTGGCTCAAGTGGACAGTGCAAGCCAAAGCAAGCACAAAGCACTGAGTTCAAACTCTAGTGTTACTAAAAAAAAAAACAAAAACAGCAAAAACAAAACCAGCAAACAAAAACCCACCAAAACCAGCCAATCAACATTGGGTGTTGATTATGGCTGTCTGTTTCAGGAGATACCAGGATGCATATTTCTGAATGTTCTGGCTCAGATTACTCATTCATCACCTCAATATGATTTTCACTTCAAGTCAAGGTGACTATTCAGTATAAAGCACTTTATTAACCTGGAATACAAGCATTTGTTCAGTAACTCATTCAGCAGTTTCTTTCTTTCTTTCTCTCTCTCTCTCTCTTTCTTCCTTCCTTCCTTCCTTTCTTTCTTTCCTTTCTTTCTTTCTTTCTTTCTTTCTTTCTTTCTTTCTTTCTTTCTTTCTTTCTTTCTTTCTTTCTTTCTTTCTTTCTTTCTTTCTTTCATTCTTTCTTTCTTTCGTTCTTTCATTCTTTCTTTCTTTCTTCTTTCTTTCTTCCTTTTGTCAGTCATAAGGCTTGAACTCTGGGTCTGAGCACTGTCCCTCAGCTCTTCAGCTTACACCTAGTGCTCTACCACTTGAGCCACAGCACCACTTCTGGTTTTCTGGTGGTTTATTGGAGAGAAGAGTCTCATAGACTTTCTTGCCTGGGCTGGCTTTGAACCACGATCCTCAGATCTCAGCCTCCTGAGTAGCTAGGATTGTAAGCCTGAGCCACTGGCTCCCGGCTCTGCATACTTTCTTTTAATGTATTTCTTAGACTTAAGAAATGTTACTCTGCATTTAGGAGCATTGCATAATTGATAACTTTCCTATTTTTTTTCATTTTGGAGTGATAGTGAGATACTTTAAATTTTCTAAGAATCAGTCCATGTTTTAGGAAGAACTATATGTTGTCTTTAACAGGGAAATGCTTTTTACTTTCTAAGAAAATTAACTGCAGGTAACAGGAGCTTACTTGAGACTGAAACATCAGGGTGGTTGACTTAGGTAAATAGTCAAAAATAACACAAGGATCAATCAGTGTGCCTGGGTGAGGGTCAGAGGGTCTGATGCCCATTTATCACAGCCACACCATTGTGCAAGGCTCTTGACAGTGACTACAAAACTGGTCTGCAATGAAGAGGTTATTTTTCTCATGTGTGTGGGCTTGCTTGCTTAACAGGACGTCTCTGTCACATACTGTTCTGACAGCATTTTTCTTATCACACTGTATGGAGGGACATAGAACATACAATATTGTCAAAACAAACAAACCAACCAACCAACAATGATCCTAGAATTGTGAGTACTTTGTAGGAAAGATCTAATGGAAAGGTGATAGCAATATTATAAACTACTTAAATCTACAAAGAAGTATCAAGAGGATCCATGCTTTACTAGATTTATAATGTCTTTACAGTGCCCATCTTTAAGTGGGAAGAAGGATACTTTAGTACCTCAAAAACAAATGTAAATGTAATTTGCGTGAAATAACACAGTTAAAAGTGGCTTAGATTAGACTGGTCCATCTAACATCACTTGCAAATTAGCCAAGAAATTTAATAGAAATCAATAACTATCTCCCTGATGGTAACTGAAATTGTACTTATTTAAATTACATCAACAACTGCCTTTTCTAAGAAGAAAGAATATCCTATTAATGGTACTTGTTTCAACTGCCCCCCACCCTCCGCTACTTCTACAATTTTTGAGAGGGGAAAAAAATAGAACTTAGATTCTTTCTCCATGTTAAAGTGAGTTATGCATTATCATTAGATGGAAGCTTTTAAAGAAAAGCCTTTGATTGTGCTCTATCAGTTGGGATTGTGGCTTCATTAGCAATTCATTTCTAAGTGGCTCCAGTTAATAGCAGCAGTGTTAAATATGGCTGCACTTATACAAAGGAAATAAGTTGATCCAGTTGGAAGTGTTTTGTAATATTAAGCATAGTGTATAAAAATCAATTGCATGTTCATAAACTATCCCTATTGTTATTGGCTTTGAGTAAACCATTGTAGGGAGAGATCCAATTGTGTTAATTCAAACTGAAGTAGTTGGCTCTTTTATGATGCCTGTTTTTTATTAACAATTTACAAATCCAAAGACCACCAACTTTCTTTCATTATCCTGTGTTCCACTATTTACACCATGTGCAAAGGGGCCACATGGAGCAATTTTATCTCCATCTTTTCTAATACTTTTCTTTACAAAATCACTCAGAAGTTCTTGTAGGTAAATTATCTGGTAGGAGAGTATATGGTTTGTGACTTCCTAGATAGGAGAAAAACCAAACACAGTAGAAAGGAATATACAATAGAGATGATGAAAAATTAGCTAAAAGTAGGATTCTGGAATAAGTGTATTTTTGTTCATCTGTTTTTTTTTAAAGTAGGCATTGTAAGTTTCAAGATATAAGAACTATAATAAAATTAGTAGCAGCGGAAACCTCCAGGGAGGGTCCCATATTGAGGCAAATCCAAATCTCTTCTCAGGACAATTTCTTTATTCCAATCACAGAATTTCCCAGGAAAAATAGTACTATACTTCACATAGTGCAGTGGCTATTTGATAATGAAAACATATGACTTGTAGCTGAAAACTTTTCCTTATGTAAGTCTCCCATAACCAAATAAAGAGAAGTCAAGCATTATCACCATTTCAAGGAAGAGAGAGACTCCCGAGTAGGGTAAGTGAAATAACCTTGCTTATGAATGCTGGATTCTAGTTGTTTAGACCTCTTGTCCAGGAATAGTGCAGTGGGACTACTGTCTATTTGTGGAGATGAAAAATAATTTAGCATGGTACGTGACAGTTCTGCTTCTGCCTGGGTAGGGTTGGAAAAGAGGCAATCTGTCCCAAGACAATGATAATTTGTCTTAAAGTAGACCATTTGCTTCTAACTTTTAAAATGAAGCTAATTAATCATGTGTTATAAAAGTCTTGCTAGGTATTGACAGCAAAGCAAGGATAGTGTAAAAAATACCAGCCTCCACTTAATTACGAAAAGAGTTGGCTCCAGTGCCTTTGACGACGAAAAGCAATTACCTTTGATGACGGTCCAGGAGAGAGAGAGAGGGGGGGGGGAGAGAGAGAGAGAGAGAGAGAGAGAGAGAGAGAGAGAGAGAGAGTTTGATTCTCTTTTGGCCATTCTTTATATTACCTGCCATGATACCTTTTGACTCAAATTAATACATTTGCCAGCTCCTTTGAAGGAAGAGCCAATTGGTGTCTAAGGCAGTATTCTCTTTCCTTGTGTTGTGTGTGTGTGTGTGTAATTCTTTTTCTTTTTCACCATCAGGTGAAACTGGGTGAAGATGCCCCCAATTCCAGCGTGGTGCACGTGTCTAACCCTGAAGGAGGTGACGGTAGTGAAAGTGGTACCCAGGAGAAGACACGTGATGGGGCCGAGTGCCATCTTCTTGACTTTGCTCATGCCGATCGCCCACTAGTGGTCAACTTCGGTTCCGCCACTTGACCGCCCTTCACCAGCCAGCTGCCAGCCTTCCGCAAACTGGTGGAAGAGTTCTCCTCGGTGGCTGACTTCCTGCTAGTCTACATCGACGAGGCCCACCCTTCCGATGGGTGGGCGGTGCCCGGGGACTCCTCTTTGTCTTTTGAGGTGAAGAAACATCGGAACTTGCAAGATCGATGCGCAGCAGCCCACCAGCTTCTGGAGCGTTTCTCCTTGCCGCCCCAGTGTCGGGTTGTGGCTGACCGTATGGACAATAACGCCAATGTAGCTTATGGGGTAGCCTTTGAACGCGTGTGCATTGTGCAGAGACAAAAAATTGCTTATCTAGGAGGAAAGGGCCCATTCTGCTACAACCTTCAAGAAGTCCGGCGTTGGCTAGAGAAGAATTTCAGCAAGAGATGAATTCTAGATTAGCTGGTTCAAGGTATGATTGTAATAGAATTTTTTTTTAAAAAAAAAAATATGTAAAGGAAAGGAAACTGAGAACGGCATCTGCTATTTCAACTGAATCCGATTGCCTTACACAAAGGCAGGAATTTACCTGTCAGAAGAACATAGACCTCTAACAGCTCAATACTTGGTTCCCTGATTAGTAGCCCTGTTACCTCTCTTCTTAGTGAAAAGCCCTGAGTGAAAAGATCCAAGTTGGATCTGAGTCCCTGTGTGTCCATTCTTCCTTGAGAGAGAAGCAACACTGCTCATCTATGCATTGGGACCAGAGGAAGAGTTACCTGAATAATGACTATGTTAGGGAAACTACCATCCCAGTTATGATTAAGTGTATTGCCTTAAGAGTTTAGACAGCATGGATAGATCCCAATTGGAAAATTTCCAGGTACTTAACATAATAAAGCATCCTTGAACCCAGGCCATGTGGTGAGGCCCATGTGGTGTTCAGTATGTTAGAATCTAGTTGTAGAATGCTTTGGGCCAGTCACCATAGCCTAGAATTACCAGTTGTATTTGCACATACCTCAACCTTGAGGGTTGGAATGATCATCTGAAATCTGGCAAATGTAGAAAGAACTAGAAGGAAGTGAAATCAACAAAGTAAGCAAAAAGGGGCAGAAAGATTAGAACATGCCATAGTATTTCACCTTGTAGAACATGAGACTAACACGTTAACCACAGACACATAGAAACATGCATATAACTGGACAAAGAAAATGCTCAGCTAAAAAATGGTATAGAGAAAAATCCATCTGAAAGCAAGGCATTCAAGGAAAAAAGGAATGGAAAGGAAAAAAAGTTAGATATTTGTACTAATGATTATTTTTTGTGGGAATACTTTACAAACCACGTATGCCATGTATATATTTTCAGTGAGTGAATTATACCCTATGAAATCTATTAAAGGGAAAACCAGTGAATCTAATGGTGCTGGTCTATACCTCCCCAATTCCTGCAGCTGTCACGTGACTCTGCTCATTGTCATTAGTCCCATTCTCTGTGGCAATATTTCCTCTCAATGACGAGCTAAAGGAGATGGGAAGCATATACCCTAGATGTTCAGCTACAGCCCTCTTTTCTTCTTAAATTGGTGAACTGAAGTGAATGAGTAACACAAACAAATACCCTTTCTTCTGTTGCGGAATAGAAGAGGCAGGTATTTTTTGAGATAAGTCCTACTAATGATGCTGGGGGCTTTGGTAGGAAGTAATACTTAGTTTCAGGGAATGACATTTGAATTTAGACTTAAGACTTCTTTTGATCCCATGTAATCAAGGATTAGCAATCAGGGGTACATGAGTATAATCATATATGTATGTAACTATACATATATATCATGAGTCTCTATTAAAATAAAAGTGATTTGATTTTTCTCATAAGTAATGGCTAAAGATCATCAACTCCCAAAAGAAGAGGTTAGCCAATTTTGCATCACAATTTTTTAAAGTTTGAAAGTATTATCAAATCATAATATATGATCATATTTAAGGGTCCAAATCCAAAATCTTTACACTCATTCCATTAATAAATGGATCATAAAACAAAATAGGAAAATACCCTTTACAATGGAAAGTATCTTTCTAAAGTAGTTGTCTGAAATGATATTAAAAAAAAAGTGTGAACCAGGTTGCAAGAAAGAAAACAGCAAATAAAAAAAAAGCAGAGACAAATCAGTCATTGCACTAGCTGGCATACTGTGCATCTATTATGGCTGTATTATGACTGATGATATTCTGATGGCAAAATTTAAGCTTTCCAGTATTTTAAGTTCTGCACATAAAACAAAGAAATGGAAAATTTCAAACATATGATGTTATGTGATTCATTGCTGTAAAGTCATATGGAAAAGAGATTTAGATTTTTTGTTAATCCTTCCAGTGAGGGTTTATCAGTGTCCATCCCCCCAACTGATTTTTATCTTCAAAATAATGTTGAGAAGCCAAATGCAAAATTGGTGGTGCTATGCCCACATCATTTCCCTTACATTTTCCCTTTGTTCTACATGAACGATAATGGAACAGGATGTCAGGAAAGCTGGTGGGGGGAGGAGTTTGGTTTATACTATGCCAGTTGTCTAGGGAAAAGGATAATGGAAAGCCACCTCCTTTTGTTATATTTTTTTTTAAAGAAAGAGAAGGTTGTGTGTGTGTGTGTGTGTGTGCGCGCACGCGCGCATGCACATGCGCATATGGAAGTTTCTTCTGGATGAAGTCCACTGGAGGAATGAAGTAGAAATAAACATTCAGAGATGTAAGCTGACTGTCAGGGAGAAAGACAGGTTCATTAGAAAATGAAGAGATATGGGAAGAAAAGTTGTTGAAGGGCTAATGGGAAAAGAGAATTGATAAAGCTCAGAACTCCTACATGATGTAGAATGGCTTGATCTTTATCAGGCTATGATAAGCCTGTCATATTGTGGCCTATGTATCCCCACTTAAATTTTTATGATTTCCTGTCGGTATTCTTTTTAGAAAGCTAACAAGAAGAAGTCATTCTTGGAGAGAAAAGGAAAGTCAGTGTGTAAGCTGATATTCTCAGAGAGACTATTAGATTACCAAAATCCACCCACCTAGCCTACCTTTCTCAAAGAATGTTTCCTTTGAAGAGCAATAGTTCTAATTCTCACAAGGCTAATATTTAATATGTAAGACTGAATTCTTCCTTTTTAGTGCATACACATTCTCCCTATAGTCTGTGTTTACATGGAGCTAACAGTTTAGATTTTAAAGCTGAATTAGCTTGTCTAATATTGAAATTGTTTCCAAGAAATTTTAGATATTATTGTAGCATCTGGATTTACTCAGACATGTAGTGTTTGAGAGATGTCTTGGAACTATTCAAAAGTTTATTGCTTTGAGAAAGCATTAGAGGAATGGAAAATGATTTTCTTGAATGGGCATGAATGAAATGCCTGCACAGTTGTGTAGATGCATTTCATACAGCTATTAAAAATGCAAACTGACCTCTAGAGGGGCAAAATAGTCACTGTTTTTGCTTTGTATAGCTGAAGTAACAGCTTCCAAACTCTCTGCATTCACATTTTGGAGGTAGAGCAATGGATTCTGTGTCTTCACCTCATTTATGGAACGTGTCCCTGATTCTTTTTTTGGTAATCCTAACATCTAAGTAGTCTATCAATTTATTTGAATACTTCCCTCCCCCCCCCCCAATAACCAAGAGATGCTTATCCTTTGATTATTTTGCTTGAGTAGGATTCACTCTTTGGGGTCTTGAATTAAAATATAATATAAAGCGTAGTGAGGTCCTGTGTGAGGATTGCCTTGTGCATATAATACCAGATGGGTAGGTGGGAGACAATATTTGTGCCTTAGAAAAATGTCTCAGGTGGTTGCAAGGTATGCTTGGCCTGCTCTCTAGGCTCTGTCTATACCAAGAGAAATTGGTGGTGAATCTATATGGATGCCCACTTTGGAAATCCTAAGCAGATCAACCTGGACACTTGTTTTACCTGACCTCTGACTGATGGTTTGGAAAATAAGTTTAATTAGAATTCCTTGGCCACCGCAGAGGGGAAAATGTGGGACTCTGATGTCTGCTCCATTAAAAGATGACTGAAAAACCTCTGCAAATGTTTACAGATTTTCAGAACATGTGTAATGTCATGTCTCTCAGCTGCGGAGACTGACAGTGAGTCTTTTAATCCCAATAGTTGTTTTTTTAAAAAAATATTGTTATTATTAAAACAGTGATACTACCCCAAATCAAACTTCCTCCTTCTCCCTTTGCCTTAAAATGGGAGCCAAACCCTCTGGTTTTAAGTGGCCTTCCAGAGTGAGACATGAATGCAAATAGCCACATGGAGGTGGCACTGCCTTAGTCTAGTCCAAGGCTGGGTGAGCTAAGTTGCTAACAAGGAAGGCTTAATCCTTGAAGGTTTGGTGAACTAAAGCGGAAAGGATTTGGAGAGAAACTCCTTAGGCTGGAGGAAGGGTGCTGAGTGTCATTGAGTGACTTCAGAATGAGGAAAAACATTGGGCCACTTCCTCCTGCCCTATGTTTCCAGGTAGCCACTAGACTGGACAGGTCTGAGACTTGACAGACCTCACTCTGTTCCAAGGTGCGTCTGAACCAACAGAGAGCAAACACGTACAGATAAATCCAAACAAGACAGCTCATGCAAGTCAGGGCTTGCTGGCCTGTCTTGGGCAGCAACAACTAGAGCTCCAGGGAGTTTATTTAATATTTGCTGAGACTTTGGAGATCCAGCAGATGTTTAATGAAGTCACTATTTTGGCTCAAACCGCCCTCCCCCCTCCATCTTTAAAAAAAAAAGAAGCAAACAGGTAAACACAAAAATGAAAGAAGCCCACAGAAAGGAGTGGGAAATAAATAAAAATTCTCTCAAGACTGCTTCAGACCAGGGCACTGGTCAGTGTGGTTTTTCTGTGTGTTAGGATTGGGGGATGTGAAGACATAAGTATCCAGTACTTTATAACCAAAGCAATTACAACGATATTGGGTAGGGAATGTTGGCCAGTTTTATTTAGTTTTGCATCACATTATCTCCAGAACTCAGTAGCCCAAGAAATCGGGCACCTGAAGAGGGAATCTGAGATGTGCAGAGTTTACCAGTGTGCGAATGATAACTACTGACGAAAGAGCTACCCACTCAGTTAGTGGTTGGATGTTGCCACATTAGTTTGTCTCTCCCCATCTCAGTATTCCTAGCAAGGAGAATCTTCGGGGACACCATGTGAAGAGTCCTGGGTCAATGTGATGATGAATGTATGTGTGTATATCTCTGCTTCTCAGTGGCAGAAAAAGAAATGCCTTGGAGATTATCAGTAGAAAAGAGTGTTATTATATTGGTGCTGAGTGCTATGTGTGCTTTTACAATGTGTTCTTGTATTTTAATAAACTTTGAATAAAAGAATAGAGGTACTCTTTCATTCTATTTGTTTATTTTTCAATTACTTTCTAGACCATGCCTCGGGCTGGAACACATTCATGGTTGACAAGGGAAAGAGAATTCATCATCCTGATATTTATTCCTTGCTATTCCTGGGCAAAAGAGGCAGCAATGTCAGATTATTTTAATCTCATGCTGGGTGCCAGGATCGTCAAGGAAATTAGGACAAGTTGAAAGAAAACCTTCAGATACTTTCCATATTTATGAACAAGTCACACACAGAATTCATGGAAAGAGGCCTGTTTAAGAGACTGTGGAGCAAAGTTTGTTAGCTTTACATCTCAGGTTTTCGAAGTGCAAAAAACATTCCAAAGAGTTGGTTAAAGCAACACACACACACACACACACACACACACACACACACACACACACACACACACACACACACACACTCCATACATTTACATGAACGTTATTTGCTGGATGATCAGCAGTGCATTAATGTTGGAATGAAAACATTGGAGCACATTTATACCAAGCACTTTCCACTGTGCAAAGTTATGAAGATATGATGTCATATGGAGGGGGTGTCCATTAATAACAAGAAATATATGTGAAACAAGGTTAAATATATGCTATTTGTTCCTGAAATCAGGCCACTTAACCAAAGTATGTCTGGAAACTCAGATCACTCACTGTGTTTTATATATAACAATTTCATTAATATTTGTAGCACTTGGTTAACAGTTGTAGCAGCTCTATAACATCCTAGAATTTTAGTGGAAAATCTCAAACAAAAACAAAACAAACAAAAGCATTATTTGGACAACTACTGTTGGGTTTGCATTCTTTGCAGGGTCCTGTGCAAGGTACAATTTGATGTACAAAAA